GTTATTCTTTGTACTTATTTGCTCAATCTTTGTAGTGAAACAGTGCAAGATGAGGAACTGGCTCAACTTCAGAGTTTCAGTTAAGTGCACAGTTAAAGAAAAATTATAACAACTCGGATGCAGCTCAGAGGTCAAATATCATGATGCAGAGTAGGCACTAAACCTAATGTATCTACTTGATTTTGTTGTTGCAGATTAAATGGTTATCTTATCTGTACACAGCTGATTAGGCAGTATAGCAGTACCCGCACGTTTAATAGTTGTTAAATAGTTTTTGTGCATAGTTGAACTGTGTATTGAGATGGGAAGCCAAGTTGTTTAATTTGCGGATTCCACTTGTCAGACTGGTGGCATTCCTTAATTTCTGATCCCTGGTTATGATTTGATTCTTATTTATATTGTCCTATGGAAAGAGCATTAGGATAGGACAAGCAAACAAGCCTTTCAACATTCATGGTGTATATTTTGTTTCACCGAGCCGTGTTGCTTATGATTTTGAATTCGAACGGATCTGCTTCTGTTCACTAAAGAAATAAATGCATGGATAGAGAAGGTATGCTCTAAGCTGTTTTCCCTTAGTTTAAAGGAAGGATTAGTAGTACATGTAACTGTCTTTTCTTTTCTTGGTATTCAAACAAGAACAAATCACTGTTGATGTTTAGACTCTCTAGAATCTGGTAAATTTTATTCTTCCTCTTAAACTTCTGATACAAAATTGGAGTTGTAAATTATTTATTCTGGCACAACCAACTGCTTCTTCTTCTGCCTAGCTTGCTTTTGATGAAGTATTCCTGGTGACCTGGTCAATAGACTGCACTTGCCTATTCCAAGCACATACATGCCTAAGGATGTCCTGTAAGAAAAGCTTTAACGAAATCACTTTGGTTTGTAAATGTCCTTGAGGATTGAATTAATAGAAACTAGCAATTCTTCTGCCTAAACTGATTCCTGCAAATTTTCTTGCCGAACTACTACATGGTAATACTCCCTTCATTCCATATTCTAATGCACATAGTTTTTTGCCTAGATTCCGAAATGTAGTGCGCATAAGCTGCTTTGGACTAAAGTAGCCCTGGACTGTTCACAGGAACGCAGCAGCAGACACCCACGTGCTGTGACAGAGCGAGCAGCTGGAGGGCAATTCCTGTCCAAATGAGAATGTCAGCTCAGGCATTGGTATAAATGCTACACACAAAGGCGCATTATAAAGTGGAACAGTGGGAGTACTAAATTCATATGTAATACTAAATTCCTACAGGTCATAAATTGGGGTTTTCGACAATAAGTACCTAAGTCTATGTTATGTTTAAGTTAAAAAACAATGTCGATGTGAGCCATACATACACCGATTAATAAAGCGGTTAGTACTTAACTTGACCGTCATGTCCTATGTGCCTTAGGAGTAAGTTTTCATCTCCACCATTGACCCGCTTAAGGTGGCTATACTGAAGCAGACCCCATATAATTATGAATGGTTTATGAAGTTGAAGGATGAAACTTGAATGAACACAATGTTGAGGTTTGTAAAGTGAAGCCTAAGACAAGTTTGAGAGGGTAATATGGACTTCTCTCAAACTATATTACCAGAGGACAATGAGGGCCTTGGAAGACAATGACAGCGATGAGTTTCTCCCGGTTCTGTTTTGTTGTAGGTGAAGTTCTTAATTATAATTATCAATGTGTTTGTTTTTCCTAAGGATGCAGTGACATGCAAGGTGAGGCAAATTGAAGCCAAAACAGTAGGACGGTCGAAAGTGTGCCATTTTTTCTATATAGGTTAGTGATTCTATCATTTTTGTATTTTTACATTGCTAGGTACAGTAGTTTATATGAAATGATTTGTTAGGGAATCTTCAGGGAATCAAGCGGTAGCACCGGATGCTGACATGCATGGAAGGTAGGAGTGATGGAGTATACGTATTTGTAGCAATTCACCATCGCCCATAAATAAATCATCTTTGCCCCGCTTCCTCTGTCCATCCGTCAACTCAAATTGCTTTGGTTCACAAGTTTGTTTCATCGTACATCTAGGTACACTAGAACAGAGAGACTACTTTCCTTGAATGGCTCATGCGAGTAAACTGACAATAGTGTTCATCCAAGATGCAGTTATATATGTATCTTCATAGAGATGTAGATGCATAGGTAGTTCAATAGTGCACATGTTCATCGACAGGGATGTAGATGTAGTATACAACCGAGGTTACATTGACAAGTTAGTCCATTATGCTCCCAGGAAAAATAAAATATGGTATATAGTTTCACTCTATTATATTGTAAATATGAAAAAACAATTGTCTCTGTTGCAGCGCATGACGAGGTGGGGTCTTACAGCGGGAAATCGAGAGCGAAGGGGAGAGTCCAATAGGAAAAGTGAAGGGTGCGTCATGGGGTGGAGTGGAGTTTTTCTATTAGGTTGGAATGACAACTTTGCTTGATAGCTGCCTGGGATAGACAGTAACATCTCATCATGCAACATGGTAAGTAAGGTCTTTTGTCCATTGTTTGTCATTGTTTATTGTTGTTTCTAATAGCTACCACTTGTAGATTTATCTTCCATGTGAATCCATCGGTCGATATATCTTGTACGTTATCCACAAAGGCACATCGATTATCTATTCTGGACCCTATTCATACAACACAACCGTTGGAGATGGAAAATCCGAGGCACTTAGTGAAATCAAAAGGTTTTGTGAGAGAATTCAAAGAAGCACTCAAAATAAAGCTATCAGGATAGCATTCTGATATATCAAAATGGCAACGTTTATTTCCTAATGGTATTCCAATGAGCGTAGGCGGGTAATTAATTCATAATACAACCATTTATTTTTCTTATCATCATATTTAATATAATAATAATTTTTCCATTTTATGCTCTTGTCGAATGGTAAAGACTTGGCAAAGCCGGTTTGCACAGCGAGTATTTTCCGTTACACATGTGCTTAGACCTTCCACGTGAAACATATACTTTTGCATGATGGGTATGAGTTGAGGAAGCAACTTTTTATTATACTTTCTCAAACATCATGCAAATGAAGCTAAAGACAACTTTCATAATATTGTGCGAGAATTTCTTAAGCGCATCAAGTAGATCTCAATAGTTTGTAATAGATTTTGAGTTGGATCATCACTTTATATATATTCATTGTTAGTTTGCCATTTTGTTATCAGTTTATATTACAAGTGAAGTGGACTTCAATTATTATGCAATTGTGACCATGTTATATTATCCTAGCTGTGAAATTTAGCATGCATTATCTTTATATAACTTCAGCAAAATATTTCAGAAGCCCGTGGCAACCAGTTTTTTATGTCAATCCACCATATTTTTCAGCCAGTTGGGGAACTGAGTGCGGTAGCGGAGCTGTGGGAGTGGTGGACATGCAATGAGGGAAGGACAAAGAATAGAGGATTAGGAAGGACGGATGGAGGTGTCGGAGCTGAGAGAAAAGAGGGAAATACCGAAGGGAGCTGGCATGGAAAGAAAGCGAAGTTGTGCCCCAAGGTTAGAGTGTGATCGTGCTATAAATGTTACCTTTTATCAATGCTCGTGTTCATTCTCGAAGGCTCCACACAATCATTGTGAAGGAAGATGGCAAACTCATTGAGGACAATCATTGTGGTGATTTCTAAGCTCAATTTCTGGTGGAGTAGTCTCATGACAAATTAAGAGGACAACCCATGAGTAACTCATAAATTTATAAAATCACCTTGTTTTTTCATGCATATTCATGTTACCTACAAACGTTAGATGTGATTGATTTAGGGAAGAAACAATGGAAGAGATGGTGGTTTTGCAATGTAAAATATATGTCTGAATCAAGTATTGTTTATTTAATCATCTATTTCATTTTTTCAAAATAATAGTCGGTTTGATTTATTTACAAGCATTTGCTCGTAGCAACGCACGGGCACCTCCAATCAGCAAAATATTTCAGAAGCCCGTGGCAACGCACGGGCATTATACTAGTGTAAGTAATTACCGTGCTCGAAGACGGTCTAGCGCCTGATGCCAGCCTAGGTTCGCCTCTGGTGACATGCGACTTGGTATTTTGTCAAAATAACAGATTACGACTCAGTTTGCGGTTGTTGAACAGTGTTGGGTGTTATTGTTTTATAATCTGTTGTACAATTGAATTCACGTGGCCTTAGGGTTCTTCGCCTCCCGCCGGTGCTGCCTCGATCTACCTTGTCTCCCGTGGTCTTAGGGCCATGGAGGCACAATGGATTCTGACCCCTGTTGGCGGGATAACTCATGCTTCATTTTTAGGTGTTTTTTAGTTTGTTTAAAGTTTGTGTTCTATTTAGAAAGGCGACGTGGCGTCTTCTTCTTGAACAGGGCATAAATTCTCCCCGCCTAGCCCCCGTCCAGTGGTGCGTCTCGCATCGTCAGAGAAGGTGTGGAGGTGTATCTTTGGTGGATCTCGCTAGATTCGGTTGGTGATTGTCTTCGGTGGGTCTGTGTGGATTTGGTCTTTATTCGTCTGCGCTCATGCATGTACAGGTTGTATTCTTTCCATATACGCTTCTCTTCATCGGTAGTGGTTAATGTTCTGGTGTGCAGGACTTAGCACGACGACTTTCTGACTGTCTACCACAACAAAGTTTGTCTGGCTTTAGTGAGAGCGGGGCAATGACGAAGACGTGCCTTTGGCTCGCTAAGTGCTTGTAGTTGTCCCTAGATAGTTGAACATGAATGTTATTTTTATTACTTCTCGTGTTCTTTGTAATGTTTGATGAAGTAGATCAGAAGTTTTTTCTAAAACAAAATAAAAAATCTGGTTGCATAAACGAGCTGATGAAGCACGGAAAAGTTGGCCTGTGCCTTGTGGGCTGTGGCGATTGGGCGGAGGATCAGGCGCGTGTGAGCCACACCACGCCAGGCTACACCTTGAGCTTCGCTACACCTTCCTCCGCCGCACACCGCGCCCCCGAACCCCTCTGAAAATCACGAGCGCACATCATCCGCGCCGGCCACCGCTCGCATTCTTACAACAGCCATGGCCACGGCAGCCTCGCCGCCGGCGGCAGCCTCCGCTCGGGCGTCGGCGATCCGCTCCCGCGCTGGCCGCCTCTCCCTCCCCGCGGCCCTCCCGGCGGACGGCCGTGGTGACACTGCCACCACCTACAAGGAGCTCGGTAGGTCCGCCTTCGCAGTTGTTTAGTGAATCAATCAATTAGAATGATTGGAAATTATATGGTCCTAAACTTTTTCCATGATTAAGATCGTACTGACCGTACAGTTGAATTTGAGTAAAATGTGCCACCTGAATGCACCCAATGTGCGAGTCAGATTTGAACGTCTTGCTAAACTGCTAGCATAAAACAAGAACTAAAAGAACTGATTCTAATGACATCTGTTGGTTAATTTTATTAAGGCTTGTACTCCTGGAAAAGGAGGATCGAAGATGCGGTTATCCGGGTGGAGTTGTCTGCATCCAATGCACTGGAGAGGGAGGAAGCACGGAGAATCGAGCATGAAGAAGTACTGCAAAGCCATAACTTGTGGGACAATCCGGCCAAGTCACACGAGACGCTCTCTGCCCTGTCTGATGCCATCAGAGCGGTTGATCATCTCAAAGACCTTCTATATAAGGTGCTTGCTTATAGATGCATAATGTGAGTTCAGTGAACTGTTTTACTTTGTCCAAAATTTGAACCCCTCAAAATATGCTTTATATAGCATGCTATATAAAACAGTTATGCTATATAAAGGCACAAGGATCATGCTTGAGAAGCAGAAGATGGACTAAACGATGTGCGCAGTTACTTCCCTTTGCCACTTCAGAAATTATGAATCAGTGTCCTTCCCTTTTTGCTTTCATTGTGAACTGCGGAAATGATGGATTAGAGTTTAGCATATTCTGTTATTGTTGTTCATTAGATCTAATGTGCAGGCTGAAGAGGCTAAGCTGATAAGTCAACTAGCAGGCATGGATGTCATAAACGGAGAGCTATTTAAGCAAGCATATGATATCTCTTTGGATGCTAGTGAGTTTCTAGATCGTTACCAGATGTACGAGCTTCTTAAGGGTCCATATGACAAGGAAGGAGCTTGTATCATGGTCACTGCTGGATCAGAGGGTGTCGCTTCAGAGGTCGGTTGATTGTCGCGACATTGGTTAAGTTAAATATGATCAAAGCTTGATGCTGTTACAATTAGGCAACACCAATGTAGCACTGACCATAATACCACTCTACTTCATGATTCTGTTATCATTAATGTCTTAAATTGGGTTTATGTAATATGCTATTAAGACAACAAATGTGAAGGATGGCTATTGCTAATATTTGTTCCAAATCTTAGTCAGCAGTTATCAGCACTTCAATGATATAGTATAGAAGTACATCTGTCCATGTTTATCTGAGCCTAGTCCTTTGATTATCCCCACCCTTTTGAAATCTTTTTCTGATTGCAGCTATGGGCAGAGAAGCTATTTGACATGTATACAAGTTGGGCACAAAGGCAAGGTTGCAAAGAAGGACTGGTAGAGAAGATCGCATCAACAAGTGGTCATACCCAGTTTGCAGCAATGGAGATTGAATCAGAGTACATGTTTGGTACCCTTTCTGGAGAAAAAGGAATGCACAGAATGATCTACTCTTCCGTTGAAAATTCTGGCACTGGCAAGGTGATTCCATTTTCTATTCCTATTTGTTATGATATTTTTCAGTCCAAACAATTAAACACAAATGCTATATCAATAAAACCTTAGTCGTACTTTCAGAACCATTTCAATAGAGCTGACTCGTGTGCATGTACTGAATATATCTATGTCAGTGAGCAACTTGCAAAATATAGAAGTACCACCTAGATGCTGAGTAAAGGATAGAAGTATGTCACGCTCCCTCAAGAACTGGAACAAATTAAGACATGGACTTCAATACAAAATTTAAAATGTTCAAATTGAATTTACATTTTCAAGATATTGCTTCAGAATTCAGCATTTTCTTTACACCCAATTATGTTGGTGTAAATCACAACCCACGCATTCTGTGAAGTCCCACTTGTGACCTTTGGCCTCTGGGTTCTAGAATGTTAAGTCTCCCCAGTTCAAACCCTTTTCATTTAGTTTTCTGGAGAAACTGTGGTACAATGTTCTGGAGGCCCAGATTGTGTGTGCAATTTTTGGCATAACTTTCTCCTTATGCCGTTTTGCATCAGAAGGGTGTTTTACTGTGATCTTTTCCCTGTGATGCTTGATACTAGAATGGATTTATTTTTATCATGATCTTTTCATAACAATGCTTCACATCAGAATGGCTAACTCTAAATCTACCAAAGCTTCCAGGCGATTTCAGCTAGAGTCGATATAATTCCTCTCTTCTTGGATAGACCGGTTAATTTTCACTTGGATAACAATGATCTGGAGATTTCTCCGTTACCCAGTGAATTTAAAAATCGAGACCGAAGAAATGGTGCCACTGTGAGAGTTCAGCACATACCAAGCGGAGTTACTGCCGAAAGCTCAGGTAATGGACATAAATGTAGAATGTTCACGCAAGTGGGAACCCGCATATAGCTGCAGGCTAAATGTACTGGGTTGGTCTCTCCACAGGTGAAAGAAGCTATTTCGCAAACAAGCTAAAAGCCGTGAGCAGGCTGAAAGCAAAGCTCCTCATCATAACAAGAGAACTAAGAGTACCAAACCCGAAGATGATCGAGAAACAAGCTGTGGAGGAAAGATGCAACCGCGAGACGAGACGATACACGTTCGGGCCCCAGGAATTCGTCCATGATCTTAACACGGGCATCCAGTTGTCCGACCTCAACTCGGTCCTGGAAGGCGACATCGAACCGTTCATCAGGGGTCGTATTGTTTCAAGACATGGATGACGATACGCAAGAATTCGTGTGCAGTTCTGTAAATCCATTTTTGCTGATACAGATATAGCTCATTACCGGAGAATAACTTCTGTAACATGGGTCACATTTCAAGCCAAAAAGGTAAATATACCAGGTATAGGAAAGAGCTTACTCCAAGCCTCCGACTCATGTGCCGGATGCAGATGCTCTTTCCCTGTCAAGCTTGCGAGCGTGGGCGCGCACGGCGCGCCAATGCTCGTCGAAGGCCGCCGGGTGCTTGTCCTGCAGCCCCCTCTGCCGGTTCAGCGCGACGCCGAGCGCCATCATGGCGTGGTCCTGGCAGTCGATCTTCGCCGGCGCGAGCAGGTGCTGGGGGATGTGGCCATAGTGCTGGCTGCCGTCGGCCTCTATGTACGGCAGGAACGGCTGTGCGTAGAGGACGGCCCCGAGCCAGTACTCGGACAGGCTCCTCCAGTTCTTCACCTGCTCGACCATGTGCGCCGGCAGCACCCCTCGCCGGGCAGCGTTGCACATCATGTGGCTGAGCGCGCCGCCGACGCTCCTGAACCTGATGGCCTCACAAACCATCACCGACATGGTCATCAGCGATCTTGCGATCTCCTGCTGAGTGCCGGCGCTGGCCGTGAGGCGCTCCGCCGCGGCTTGGAGCTCCTCCTTGCCGAGGGTGAGTGCCTCGAGTGCCGTCTCGGCCACTCTCGCCATGTCGCCGTAGCTATCGCCGAACGAAATCGGCGTCGCGCCGGCGATGAGAGAGCCACCGAGGAACTCGGACCACAGACCGTCTGAGCTCCGGTAACCGGAGAGGTAGAGGTTGTCTGCGCGTATGCGGAGCAGCGCCGAGCGCCCGGAGCCGCAACGGAGCGTGACGCCGAACCATGGAGCCTTGCCGGGGTCCTCGGACTGGGCTGGAAGCAAGACGAGCTCCAGGTGGCGCGTCGCGCCGGCATGGAGCACGAGCTGGTCGCGCACGCCGGAGACGAACCTGCCGTAGGATGAACCCCGTGTGACGTCGAGCTCCGCCGTGAACGCCGGGTTCTCCATGGCAGGTTATTTGACAACGGCGAAAGAAGATGGGTAGCCAGCAAGAACTGGTCACTTGGTAGCACGAGGCACTGGGTCATGCACATCATCGCAGTAGTACTCCCTCCGTAAACTAATATAAAAGTGTTTAGAATACTAAAATAATAATCTAAATACTTTTATATTAGTTTAGGGAGTACTTGTTGACCTGGGCTAGTTTGACATGGTAATGGGTTGTGAAATCGTGCTTGTCTGACTGGTCTGCTTAGTTTCGTACAACATTGTACTAAAATCAGCGACAGTGCTGCAACCATTTTTTCCCCAAATGATAACGTTCACACATGTGACATGAAATAATTTTGCCTACACGTTTTTTGATGACAGCTTTAGTTACAACTGGATGACAATTTTAGTTGTGAAGCACTGTTTGGATGGCAAATTTCAGTTTTTTTGAGATTTGTTTTTTCGGATGACAACTTTAGTGTAAAAAAGGTGTTACTACATGCCACACATCGGGCAGTTATCGACGTCCTTATGAGGCAACAATGCTGCAACAGCAAACTAAGAAAAGATGGTAACAGCTAACAAGGCCCGGTAGGTTAAATCACTTTACCAAAACCAAGGGAAGGGTGCGCGTTGCAGTAGATGTCTGAAGAATTTAGCCTTTGATTCAGTAATTGCCAGATGGTGGCAACACATGTGCATTTTTCAGAGTAATCCTCGGATAAAACTTGGGCAACCGGAACCTTGGCTAGCCGAATTTACCCAAGGAACGAGCAAACCAAATAGGCCCAACGCTGAAAAACGTAATAAAACTGCACAGCTAACCACCACACGGAAAAAAAATAACTGCACAGCTAACCCATCTGCCAGTGCCAGCTAGCATAATCGGTGATGTTCAGAGTCTGCCGCACCATATGATCAAATTTCCGGTGGCACATGAATACAGAAAAATCGTCATGAACAAAAAGGGTTACGCATATCCTGGACAAAAACAAACATAAGTATACACGGTACCATAGAATCCTGACAACGGAACATCCTTTTTTTCACTATCATGGTCATACTAGCATCTCCTTCGCTATCACGTCGCATAGATGCTCCAAGAAAATGCCTCAGTACGGTTTGTACCGTGGCTGTACTCTTGATCTGCTGCTACTTCCACTGGGACCATAACCATACTGAAACGTGAGAAAGATTTGTTAGCCAACGTCTCGCAACTCACAAGTGATAATCAAGAAAGTTGAAGAGCGAGTGGGAAACTAATTTAAAGCCTATGCCGCTTCACAAAAATATATATGAAGAAGATGAAAACAGTAGTAGCTTTAGTTACTGCTCTCTACTTACATCATAACCAAGACTGCCAGAGAACTGGCCATAAGACATCATCGGGCTGTAAGCTCCATGTGGCGCAGGTGGTTCCATGTAACCGCCTCGACTGGGGCCACCCTCAACAGGTGCAGCTGAGTCTACAGCAACCTGGGGAGAAAACACAAGGCAGATCAATGAATTAATCTCCACACTGACATTTTTGGCAGGCTGAGCTGAGGCAGTGGCTCTTGTTTTCTCACCTCCTGTCCCAAAATTTCATGACTTCTTCGCGCTACACGATCTGCTACACCATCCTCAGCAAAAGTAACAAAACCAAAACCACGGTGGCCGCTCTTTTTAGGATCCTACGATAGCACTAGGGTTTGTAAGTTGTCAAAAGACTAAACACTACCAATAATGATGGGCAGAGCCAAACCTTTGGAATGTATGCATCCACAATTCTGCCAAATCGGCCAAAATAATCCCATAAATCATCAGTATTTGCTTCTTGTGGGAGTCTACCAATAAAAATCTTTTTGCTTGATACAGGGGGCTCATTCAAGTAACCTCCTAGCCAATTTTGATGCAACATTCAGTAACAATCAATTGTTTCCAAGTCAAAATATCAGGCAAAGTGTAGAGCTCAAGACTTACTTCCATAAGCTGGTCCAGGATGATCATACAGTGTTGGTACGCCCAGAGCTGCATATCTGGTAGCAGCTGTAATGTATGCATTATACGAGCCATAACCACCCTCGCCCTGTGCTCCTCCCCCCCTCCTTGGAGGGTGCCTGACTTCTTCATCCTGCTATGTAGGAGGGAAAGCAATATCGTAAGTGGATAACTAGAGCACGAGTGTGAGGCTACCAAAGCCGTTGTCCTTGATCTCTTTATCTCTCTTTAATCAGGTAAAACCTAATCTCAAAATGTGTGCATGTCTGTGCAGTATTCAAACAGCTCTGTTGAGCAATTATTGTGGTTGTCTCATATGGGATCACCAAGCCATAACACTATAATCATGTGCTTTTCACATCCCTGAGTATAATCATATTGCTTTTCACATCCCTGAGTATAATCATGTTGCTTTTCACACCCCTGAGTGTTTCGATTTCTTCGTTCCAAAGAAGCCCTTTATAGGATCATGGTCGCATCCGAATGCTAATTGTAGCATCTTTAGGATCATGATCCTGCGGACCTACATTTGTAAGCAGAATTTAGCATTTAGTCTGTGTTTATGTTCTTTATATGCTTTCATACTGCCTCCATTTTCCAGTACATTGAAAATGTATCATTTATTACTGTTAGATGCTACAGTTCTTCATTAATTCTACCATTACAACAATTTTCAACCTGTATAGAAACATTTGTTTGTACAGGTTCATCAAACAAGAAAAGCATATACATTTGCTATGACCTTCCAACTTCTTAAGTAACACATTAATACATAAATAAAGATAAAAAGGGTACATAGTTATAATGAATTGTATTGTATGTATTATTACTCCCTCAAAATTCATAAAATTGGTCGTTGTGGACATAGCAAAGTCAAACTTCAAAAACTCTGACTGCATATGTATCTTCAAAAATGTTCAGATTGGACACATGATAATCATACATATAGGTTTATCTTGACAAAAATCACAATAAAGTTTTGTTCAACTTTATACATACATTGCAATAGGAATAAGTAATCAAAGTTGCATTTTGGGGATCATGCCCATGTCCAATATAACCCCTTTTCAAGCACTAGAAGGAGTAAATTGGTAGGATCATGGTACGATTGGATATCACAACCCGGACCAGTTCAACCGCAAAACAATCCACTACTTTGCAAGCACTAGAAGGAGTAAATTGGTAGGATCATGGTATGATTAGATATTACAACCCGGACCAGTTCAACCCCAAAACAATCCTTCCTACTTCCTAGACTAAACGATAGTGTCAAGTCGTTAACCCTGAGTGTTAGTTCTAGTTTAAGTATTAGAGATGGGGCACACAGAATAATACATGTATTCCAAGTTCAAACACTGAGCTAAGTGAATTGCGAAATGTACCTTCGGAGTTGCACGATCAACAACAACTGTTGAACCATCAATCTCATGATTTTCTTGCATGACATTGTCCACGCATTCTACAAATTACAGTTGAAAGTTACAAACTAAAGCTAAACAGGTTGTTGAGGAGCACTATATTACTCGTGGTAAATGGTGAAGCAAATGGAAGTTCCAAGAATAATTTAGGAATGCAGCTTCCAAATTAAAGTCAAATCCTAGCTCATGCCTCATGCACAAGTGAAGTAGATGAGAACAAATAAGCACTTAGGCAGAAGAATGTAAGATCGTAGATCTGAGTCAAAACTCTAGTTACAAAACAGACAATAATCAGTTAAAAATGTAAGCTAGTGCGGGCATTGCTGCTACAACCCTACTGCGTGAATTTAAGGTTATGGGTGATGGTGAAATTCATAGGGGGTCTTGCTGTACTACGGCGGCACTACAAGCACCAGTCCCACCATTATATTGCTATAGTACAAAGGCAATGTTTTTGCATCACATGGAAGACCGAAGTTATACTCCCCTGATCCAAATTAATTGACACGGCCTCTATACAATGTACATACAAATTAATTTCGGATCGGAGGGAGTAACATTATTCCTCTATTTAGTTCAACTGACCTACCAATGTATTAATTATTTAAACGTCTCTTAGAAGATTCTATACGCGTACCTGCACTTCGGAAAGTGACAAACCCAATTCCACGATGTTCTTTTGAACCCAGTTCCTGCACGAGATCAGTGGGAGAACAAAACCCATGTTAGCAGAAGCATCTTGACTCAAACTGCAATTTCTCTGTAGAATATTTTGGACATAATCATGGAATGGTTGCATCAAACAGGTGGCCAGCAAATAAAAAAGATATTACAGGGACTAGAAAATAAAGGAAATTGGGCATGTGAAAATCCAATTCCACCTGTCTTGTCTATTCTAACTAAAGTGATGCAAGCGAGCTGACCAGACTCCTCAACAGGTTGTATGCTTCCACAGGTGTCTAGCGGTAAACAAGTCTGTAAGCTTGAACCCTCATCTATGTCCATCACAATAATCTGGGTTTATTAGATATGGAAGCTCCAAAGACTAGATGAAAAATCATTCTAACTTCTAAGGAAAGTTGTCTCAAAGATTCTTAGGTTATACTGGACGAATCTCTCTTCAACAGTACACACTTGACAAATCAAGGCATTGTGTCTTGTCAGGTTTTCAAAACCAATCGAACACGTGTCAGGGAAGTAGCTTGACCATAGTATAACAGGTTTATGCAACAACAACAACAATAAAGCCTTTAGTCCCAAACAAGTTAAGGTAGGCTATATAACAGGTTTATGCGTTCAATTATATTGAAATATGTCCTAAAGATGCTTGAACAGCATCAATTTTAATTGTCAGTCAAAAGAAAACTAGAACATTCTCTGGTATTTGCCTCCTTGAGTGATTGTGAATGGCCAGGAAAGGTGTAAAGTCTTTAAATCAGTAATTTGGTGATCTTTAACGTGAAAAATAACTTCCACTAAAACAGTGCAAACGTTGGCTGGAAATATATCTTCAATGTACTATCAAAAAAGAGAAGGTTGCAGATATTAACATACAGAAAATTGATGCCAATCAGCAACTGTTTTTGTTGTTTGTATATTACCAGAGTTTTAGTAATAAATACAGTAACATGAACAAAACTAGATGACAGCACTTCGATCTAGAATATTATATATCTCGTATCAGCTTAATTTCCTCACCTTGGGCATATAAAGATCTGTTATTTCTCCAAAAGTTTGAAAATGCCTGTTCAAACAATCTCAATGCTTAGACAAGTTCATATATTGAAGATTGCATAGATCAACAATGGCAAAACATTGTGCTGGAGCTCACCTGCGAAACATTGACTCATCCACAGACTGTGGAATCCGAGCAACAAATATCCTAGTAGCTTTCTTGTTTCCTGGAGCTCGCATTTCTTCCTGTGTTTAGAACTCATCACATCGTTACCAAAAAAGGCAAGCAAAGGTCTGGCACTGAAGATCTGTCGTATGCTGCATATGGTAGATGAGATTTCCCACTTTTTGCTAATATTTACCTTGGGAGTCGCTATCTTCACTTCCAGAGTTCGGTCTCCAAGAATATGCTCAGAGTTAACGACATTCTAAAAAATAGTACACAGACAAGCGGAGTTAATAGAGGCGACAGGAGAGAATCATATATAACTAAACTAGTCAAAAGATGCCATCAAATCATATCCTAATCACTTCTCAAAACTTTCTTCATTCAGTTGACTAAAGCATTACCAAGACAAAGGAAAATGTATTGGTTTGCTTAGAAATGTCTGTACTTCCGGCACACTCCCTCCATTCCAAAATACAAGGTATATAGCTTTTTCTAAAAGTCAAACTTTTCTATATCTGACCAATGTTTATATCCACATCTACAATAACAAATAAATGAAATATGAAAATAAATTTTATGATGGATCTAATGATAATGATCTGGTAATGTGGTTATTGATATTTTTCTCTATAGACTTGGTCAAACATAAAGAAATTTGACTATCAGAAAATTAATACACCTTATATTTTGGAACGAAGGGAGTATTGTTGATGGCTAGAACACTGATAAAGTACCCATCTAGACCTAACAAATTTTTGTTAGTTTAACATTTACTGTTATACTTTAGATAATGTTCAATATGATTGGTTTGAGCGAAGCAATAGCATGTATTAAGTGACTACTAGTTGCCCATTTTCTTTAAATGGTTGATAAACAAGCAAGATGCCATTACAGGACGTTAAAACTGAGGAGAACCTCACACTCAGTGGGGATCAACTAGATGTACAGTATACAACCACAAGAGAGGTAAAAACAAAAAGATCTTTGTCGCAAAAGGCAATGTAGAGGTTAGTTATGTACATTGTCAAGGAATGAAACGTAAACAATAGAGAGTAAGCATTACCATTTGCCACTGGCCTCAGATAAGATACAATTAAAGTCCTAATAAACTGAAGGGATTCCCGTTTATTACCTTTGCATCCTCTACTGACGAAAACGTCACGTATCCAAAACCACGAGATCGACCAGATGAGCGATCCTGACATTTTGTAAAGGTACAAAACATGTTGGTAAATTATTGGATTGGAAATGAGCAATAAAACATGATTTGAGTAAAAAAATGATGTAGCCCAAAGATAGAAAAACAAAATTCGGTCGTCCCTTGACGAAACAAATGACATAATAGAGAAAGATAAAAAACACAAAGTCAAACTTGTTTTGATTGCAAGAACAATATCCATGTGTGCCTTTGCGAGATCGAGGGCAGACCATCAATTAGACAAGAGACAGTTCAGTTTTCAACATTGCTTAAAGAACGATGAATATTAAGTATAAAATTATTTAAAACATCAGCGCTGAAAAACTTAGGAACAACACAAGAAAGACTATGCTTCATCAAATTGATTGCGGATGTTGAATTGTCACAAACCTTCATAACAATGCAATCATCCAGGGGGCCAAACTTGCTCATGTACTCTTTTAATCCTTCTGTATCCACATCCCAAGGGATTCCAAGAACCTAAGCGCATGAAGTGCTCACCCTTGTTACTCCTGGAGGAAGGCATCCCTAAAATAGATCTCGTGAAATAAAAAAAGGATTAGTAACTAACCACAAGCTTTGAAGCCATGCTATCACTACTCTCCTCTCCTGTACTTCTCAGGCCAAGAAAACTCCCCGATCTATGCTTCTTCAGCGACACCCGGGTGTTGCTTTTATCAAGCTATGTGTCCAAAGGAAAAGGTTCCCAAGCCTGAGACTCTCCCCTCACTCTTGAGGCTGAACTGGCGACCTCCACTCTTTATCGATCTCACTCAGCTCACGGTAGTAACTAGTAAAACAATGGTAAAAGTTACTCGATTAGTACTTCAACATCTAAGGCATGAAGAACAGTAGCAGCATGTTGTTATAATTATTACTCGTCTATCTACAGTAAAACAAAGAGAGAGAAAAGTAAAACACATGGCAATGGAGACGGCAGGAACGCGGTGTCCCCGGCGAGGAAAAACGGAAACGGCGACCGGATCGAGGCGTCGGCGATAACGCTAAGGTAGGTCACAGGATTCAGGCGGAAGAGGAAGCAAAGGTACACGGGACAGTAGGGTTCGGCTCTGGATGGACATGATATAAAAGAACTAATCAGGATAAAATCGCGTCGCGATTTTCAAATCATCGAGCAATTCCAAATCTGACGGCGCGTCAAGCCATCTTCTTGGAGGGCCTAAATCTCGAATTGCTCCAAGGAAGAGGCTGAATTCCCTGGCGCGGAAACCCACGGGGCAGGAACGGACCTACGTCTCGCGGAACGAAGTGGAGGAGAGGTGGGAAGAGAGGCGCACCGGAGAAGAAGGAGATTACGGCGGCGGAGAGGCGAGGTCGACGGATCGCCCCTGGCTCCGAGACTGAGGAGAGAGGACGGGGTCGGGGAGCAGATTTGGGTCTTTGTCAGCAGAAGAAGAAGAAATCAGGTTACGGATTAATGTGGCGGTGTGCGCCCAGGTCCTTCGTATAGTTCAAATTTATAGTCTACCCCAATTACAATCGTTTCTTTTTTCTTTCTTTTTTGCGGGTCTACTGTACCAACTTTTATTTATTTCCAAAAAGAAACTTTTATCTTGCTGCAAAGCATCATCATCCACAAGACCACGACGAGGCCAAAAACGCGGGAGGATTTCGTGGGCGGCTCTCAACAGTCATACTAGCTTGCAATATCGGTGACGGCGGCAATTCTTTAGTTTTCTCAAATTTGCACGAACGGCAATTCTTTAGTTGAGATAGAGGATTTTAAGGTTGTTATTGAATTTGGCACGTTTAGCAGGACTTTTAGACGACTTTGCGTTGGTTATCCTATCATGACGTCGAGGCTCCCTGGTGGCAATAGTGACGTGATCGTGGCGATTTCACGGGCGATTTAAAAATCGTAGGTTTTTCCCCATCTTCTTGAACTAAGATCGGCTACCCCACCCCGACCATACCAGTCACCGTGAATTATAACTACAGCAGTCGCTAGGTAGTCAAGGCATGCCAGCCCAATGACATTGCTCATCGCAGTTATTGCCCACTAAAGTCAAACTTGATACGTTGTGACCAAAACGTAAGATAAAAATCAAAACTTTTCTTGTCTTTCCTTTTTTTAGAAAAGTAGGATGACCCCAGCCTCTGCATCTGGACAATGCATACGGCCATTTTATTAATTATTCACACAAGATCTTACAAAGTCATACAACAGTAAGACTAAAGCCACCGACTAAGCAACATATATCGCTATTTCTATCCAGTTGATGAAGGGGCGCTGAAAGTCTGGGCCTAATACCAAACATACCTCGCAGCCAAACCTAACATCTAAGACTTGAGGTCCCAACCAGGACGTCTACCGGGTATGGGCACCCACCAGTCCGGCGTGCTCCTCAACCAGGACGTCTCCCGGGTATGAGGCCGCCGCAGCCACCTGCCACTAAACCAGAGCTGTACTGCTGCATCAACCTTGCACAGTCTAGCTGCCGCCGACGCCAGGCAGCGTCACCCTCCTACGTGAGTCCATCTCCGCTCATCAGGCGCCGAGTCTGTCGGATTTCGGGTTCCGGCAGACCCTTGAGGTTCGAACACTGGGGTGCGCGCGGAGATCTCGCTTCCTACCTACCTGCACCCCTCCGCCTCGCTAAGATCTAAGCTATGGAAAAAACAACACAAGAGACACAGGGTTTATACTGGTTCGGGCCACCGTTGTGGTTTAATACCCTACTCCAGTTTGTGGCGTGGTGGATTGCCTCTTGGGCTGATGATGATGAATGATACAAGGAGGAACAGCCTCGCGAGGGTCTATTCTTGGCTGGGGCAATGAACTGCTGGGAGGAGTTCAGCCACCCTTCTCTCACTCTCATTGTCTTTCTTCGATTCAACCTCCTATCGAACCTCTCCTCTTAACCCCTCCGACCCCCTCTCTTCTGTGGGTGGCTGGTCCTATTTATAGAGGCCCTGGTCCTCTTCCCAAATATCGAGCGGGAAGGGAGCCAACAATGGCGGGCTAATTTGAAGGGGGGCAACTAGTACTAGCTACCCTGACAAAAGTAGTCTTCGCCTGCACAAAGCTCTGGTGGTGACGCCGTCCTGGGCTCCACGATGACCTCCGTCTTGCAGTCTTCCTGCTCCTGGTCTCGTTGCACCGAAATGGCAACCTTTGCCTGATGCCTCGGTACTCCGCGGCTGCGCTTGCCCCCTTTGCACCAAAGAGGAAAGGAGGACACTGCGCGGGCTGGCACCCGCCTGGCGCCCTTGGTCGTCATGGCTTGCGTCACGGGCACCTCGTGAGGTACCCCGCCTGTAGGGTTTCGTAGTAATTTCAAAAAAAATCCTATGCACACGCAAGATCATGGTGATGCATAGCAACGAGAGGGGGAGAGTGTGATCTACGTACCCTTGTAGATCGACAACGGAAGCATTTGGTTGATGTAGTCGTACGTCTCCACGGCCCGACCGATCAAGCACCGAAATTACGGCACCTCCGAGTTCTAGCACACGTTCAGCTTGATGACGATCCCCGGACTCCGATCCAGCAAAGTGTCGGGGAAAAGTTCCATCAGCACGACGGCGTGGTGACGATCTTGATGTATTATTGTCGCAGGGCTTCGCCTAAGCACCGCTACAATATTATCGAGGACTATGGTGGAAGGGGGCACCGCACACGGCTAAGAATATGATCACGTGGATCAACTTGTGTCTCTAGGGGGTGCCCCTGCCTCCGTATATAAAGGTTCAAGGGAGGGGGGCGGCCGGCCAGGAGAGGCGCGCCATGAGGAGTCCTACTCCCTCTGGGAGTAGGACTCCCGCCCCCTTTCCTAGTTGGAATAGGATTCGTGGAGGGGGGAAGAGGAGAGAGAGGAGGAAGGGGGGCCGGCCCCCTCTCCTTGTCCAATTCGGACCAAGGGGGAAGGGGTGTGCGGCCCATCTCTGGCCACCTCTCCTCTCTTCCACTAAGGCCCACTAAGGCCCATATACCTCCCGGGGGGTTCCGGTAACCTCCCGGTACTCCGGTAAAATCCCGATTTCACCCGGAACACTTCCGATATCCAAACATAGGCTTCCAATATATCAATCTTTATGTCTCGACCATTTCGAGACTCCTCGTCATGTCCGTGATCACATCCGGGACTCCGAACAACCTTCGGTACATCAAAATGCATAAACTCATAATATAACTGTCATCGTAACCTTAAGCGTGCAGACCCTACGGGTTTGAGAACAATGTAGACATGACCGAGACACGTCTCCGGTCAATAACCAATAGCGGACCCTGGATGCTCATATTGGCTCCTACATATTCTACGAAGATCTTTTATCGGTCAGACCGCATAACAACATACGTTGTTCCCTTTGTCATCGGTATGTTACTTGCCCGAGATTCGATCGGCGGTATCCCATACCTAGTTCAATCTCGTTACCGGCAAGTCTCTTTACTCGTTCTGTAATACATCATCCCGCAACTAACTCATTAGTTGCAATGCTTGCAAGGCTTAAGTGATGTGCATTACCGAGAGGGCCCAGAGATACCTCTCCGACAATCGGAGTGACAAATCCTAATCTCGAAATACGCCAACCCAACATGTACCTTTGGAGACACCTGTAGAGCTCCTTTATAATCACCCAGTTACGTTGTGACGTTTGGTAGCACACAAAGTGTTCCTCTGGCAAACGGGAGTTGCATAATCTCATAGTCATAGGAACATGTATAAGTCATGAAGAAAGCAATAGCAACATACTAAACGATCGGGTGCTAAGCTAATGGAATGGGTCATGTCAATCAGATCATTCAACTAATGATGTGATCACGTTAATCAAATAACAACTCTTTGTCCATGGTTAGGAAACATAACCATCTTTGATTAACGAGCTAGTCAAGTAGAGGCATACTAGTGACATCTGTTTGTCTATGTATTCACACATGTATTATGTTTCCGGTTAATACAATTCTAGCATGAATAATAAACTTTTATCATGATATAAGGAAATAAATAATAACTTTATTATTGCCTCTAGGGCATATTTCCTTCAGTCTCCCACTTACACTAGAGTCAATAATCTAGATTACACAGTAATGATTCTAACACCCATGGAGCCTTGGTGTTGATGATGTTTTGCTTGTGGAAGAGGCTTAGTCAACGGGTCTGTAACATTCAGATCCGTATGTATCTTGCAAATCTCTATGTCTCCCACCTGGACTAGATCCCGGATAGAATTGAAGCGTCTCTTGATGTGCTTGGTTCTCTTGTGAAATCTGGATTCCTTCGCCAAGGCAATTGCACCAGTATTGTCACAAAAGATTTTCATTGGACCCGATGCACTAGGTATGACACCTAGATCGGATATGAACTCCTTCATCCAGACTCCTTCATTCGCTGCTTCCGAAGCAGCTATGTATTCCGCTTCACACGTAGATCCCGCCACGACGCTCTGTTTAGAACTGCACCAACTGACAGCTCCACCATTTAATGTAAACACGTATCCGGTTTGCCATTTAGAATCGTCCGGATCAGTGTCAAAGCTTGCATCAACATAACCATTTACGATTAGCTCTTTGTCACCTCCATATATGAGAAACATATCCTTAGTCCTTTTCAGGTACTTCAGGATGTT